TGCCCAAAGCTAATTCTACATTAAAAATAAAATTTTATTTAATCATTTGTTATTTTAAAAAATAATGATACACAATTTTCTGAATTGCAAATTATGAAATTTTTTACACCATTTTATGCAATTATAAATGAAAAAAAAAATACTAAATTGAAAGAAATCTGTCGAATATTTTCCAAATAATAGAATTTCATAAAAATAATTTCTTAAAATTTCATTTCTTAAGAACTATTCGAACAATTTTGCTTACATCTAGGATTTTATCATTTAAAATAGCACAATTTAAAATAATGTAAGAATTTTTACACAATAAAATTTTTATTAATGTTTTTTTTTGGGGTGAGATAATTGGCGTCTTATCTCTTAATTTCTGATAAAACTAGGTCGTTTGTATTCGGAAATAAAAGCTCCTTGGCAAGAATTTGAAAATTGTTTTTTTAAGTGGCAAGGAAGACATTATAATTGCCGAGGAAGATAAAACAATGATGAAATGAATACCTGAAATGATACTTATCCTTTTTTCATTACTAAGTAAAGAACTGAAATAAAGCTGTAATATTTATGTTTCCTAAGAAATTGAGAAGATGAAATTTCGTAAATATGCAAAAAGAGCAGAGAAAATCTGACAGGAAGGGAAAAATTTTGGTAGCCAACACCGACTTCCTGTGGCCCGATGATAAACCGACGATGGTCCTGTGACCGACGATGATGAATTATATAATATAAGGTCACTCTTTTTAATCATGAAGTTTTGCACTTTTTCGAGAAAATCCGATAATTAGAGGACAAGTTATTCAAAGTTGTATCTTCCCCCCTTTTTTAATTTTTCTTTCTTTCTTTTTTCCCGACACTCTGCATGTCACACCCATTCATCATAATCGAAATTAAGATTTTATACAACCCTGACTGTTATATACAAAATCTAAACAAATCTAAATTAACAAAATAAAAATTAATATCAAAAAGCTGCCACATGAAAAGGTCTTATAAACATGCTCACCTATGTAACATTCTTGTGGTAATTTTTAATAAATATTTTATTTTTCACGTTCTTCAAAGGTGCTTAACAGCTGAATACCTTCCCTAAACGCAAAAATGATGAGAAATATGGAATTAAGAAACTTAACTAAAAAATCAAAGGTGGTTGAGGTTAGGGACCATTCAGTGGAATTGAATACCACATACCACTGCGCATTAATTATAAGAGCTGTTCAAAATTTTCGGACCGAGTGAAATAATATTAATCAAATTTACCCACACAGAGAAATATAATTCTTATAAAATTACCGTACCGTATGTTGATGACACATTTCTGGTAAAAGACCCATAATTCTGGTTGATAAAATCAAAACATATGGTACTTAAGACATTCTTTTCGTAATTTTCCATTCATACGGTAATGGTTTACCTGTCTTTCAAAATAACATTTCTTATTATCACAAACTTAGCAAAAAGTACAAAACTGAAAAGTTAAATTATATGATTTTAATACTATACTCTACGATATCGTGAGGAAATGACCACATTTTATCACATATTACAAGACCATATTTTACTTTCAGTTTTATCAAAATTATTACCAAGGCACTTAAGTAAAAATTATTGAGTTTTTGGAAGTTCTAAAAGAGCCAGAAGCACTGCAAATTTGATCGTAATCTGGTAGCATCGACGTTGCTTTATAGGGCATTTTTAAAAAGTTACTTATCAGGAAAATATAATCCTTCTTAAACTTGATTACACAATATTAGGGAACTTGCACGGTAACATATGTGTACTATAGTATGTTTCAAATTTTTGATATTAAGGTTCAACTTTGAACCAATTTTCTGTAATTGATGGTAAAGAATGATTCGAGTTAAAATACAAATTCAAGTTCAAGTTACTGAAAATATTCAAGCTCACGCTTTCGCATGAAATATAATGAAATGAAACGTTTAACTGTTTTAAATGCTAAATCAGTAGTGGGCAATTCTGCCTTTACGGATGTAACATTAGTAGACTTTAAATGAGCATAACTTAAATTAAAAATCGACAAATACTTCTAATATCTTTCTTATGGATAACTCTTGGAGTCCTCTGTACTTGTTCTGAAACTTTTTAACTTAAGTGATTTTTATTTTTAAAAAAAAAGAAAAACTATTGTTATACTAGCGTAACTCACACAAATGTCGAAAATGCACAATCGACAATTTGTTTATATATTTCTATGAATTATACAATTTTTTTAGATACATATTTAGGAAATTATAAAGTTTTCACATACTTTTAAGTTTTAAAAATTGTAATTTTCAATAATTGTAAAAATCAAAAACTAATTTATTTCTTACATAAAACTTTATGATTTTAATCTATGAAATACAAAATGCAACCCGAAAACTAATTAAATATTACAAAAGGAAATCTACTGCACTGTTAGAACTTTCATTCTAAAATTATGGTTAAATAACCGGCAACAGTATGTCCATTCGATTAACCGTGAAGTTTACGGCAGAGAATATTTTCTACGTTTACGGTTTTGAAACCGTTTACATCTAGTATGGTTATAAAATCATAAATACAAACCTATACGGCTTCTTAACCATTTAACGTGGAGTCAAAACCGTAAAAAAAAAAGAAATTTAACTGGACATTGGAGCTGGACTTCTCATTTAATAATGGACATCGGAGAGTCCAGGACACTGAAAATTCTTCATGTGTGCTAAAGGGAATTGAGGTATCAACGCTGGGACTCGAACCCCCGTTCTGTCGGTCATGAGAAAGACAGATTAGCTCCCTCGGCTATAATATGTGCGCGGTTGCAAGGAACTAAATTGCTTCATTAGGTGGGCTTAGTTGGTGCAGTAAAATTATTGTTATTTAACCGTTATAGGTAAAAATAGTTAATAAATGATTTTTCTCGCTGTTAATAGCTTCATTGCCGTCTTATTTATGGTTATTTGACTGTTTTGTTTAAATATGCTAAAATAACAATTAAATACATTGTTATTTAGCCGTTTTTTCAGTGAAACTTCTAACAGTGTATAAATGATAAACAGTCTTAATGATTTTAAGAACATATTGCTAGAAAGAGTTTTATTGACTAATTTTTGAGTAAAACAATACTTTTTATACCCTTCTTTTTTAAAAGAAATAATTACATAAAAACTAATTTAGAGAGATGTTTCTTGATTAACATAATTTCTTAATATATTTCTTAATATACATCTTTTTTAATATTTTAAAAACGTAAACAAACTATATTGGATTTATGTAGATTCATCTAAATAGTCAAGAGTATTAATGTGATTCATTACTAAGCTTTACTAATTTATATATTCGTATAATAAATAAACTGTTTGCTCCAAAAAAATCTCATTTTACAAAATCAAAAGTTTCCTTCTTACAATCAAAATATCATTGGATTTTTTTAAACTCTAGTTATACTTTTAGAACAGTTTAATAAACATTATGAATATTATTTGAATTTCTTTTTAAGTTGATTAGTTTTACTATAGATCCATTTACAACACTTTATGAATATGAGTTATTTTGTAATTTACTCATGTTATAGGCTCTAAAATGGTTTTCTTAACTTGAATGTATGGATTATATTTTGAACTACTGAGGTCATTAACTTTTTTAATAAAATAAATAGCCTTAAAATTGCATGTTTTCTTTTAAATACGCTTCTGAGAATTAGCTTCGTACATTCCATTACTACTTGAACACTAATGCACAACACAACTTTTTGAATTTCGGAATACAGTTGTATTAATGACATCAAAATACAGTTGTATTAATGTAATTAATACAATGTATTAATACAATGTATTAATGTTGTACAGTTGTATTCATTAATACAGTTGTATTAATGACATCAAAAAATGCGTCATTATTCATAACAATTAATATCTTGCAGATAAACATATTAAAATATAAATTTCTTAAAATAGATTTGTTAAAATAACTATTTGTGTTAACATAACTCACACAAATGTCGAAATTGCACAATCCGCGTTTAATTTATATATTTCTGTAAATTATTTAAAGCAAAATTTTCTTAATATATATTTAGGAGATTATAAAGTTTCCAAAAGCATTCAGATTTTAAATATTGTGACTTTAAATAATTATAAAAAACAAAACTAATTTGTATCAGACAAACACTTGGTGTTCTGGGCGTAGCATAATATTTCTATCATAAATTCATAATCATTCATAATCATATTATAATATGTCTATCATAAAATTCATAATCATTTTAATAATTATGAAATTTACTAACTATTTTGTTTCAGACGTAACACACTATGATTTTAAATAATGAGATACAAAAAGGGAATCCAAAAATACATGAAATGTTATAAAAGGAAATCTATTTACAATTAATAATAAACAGTCTAATGACTTCCAGTACATATTTTAGAAATATAACTAAAACGGAGGTAATTAACAAATTTTTGAACTTAAATACTTTTTTTACCATTCTTTTGTAAAAGAAATAATTACATACAGACAGTAAATCCTATTAATCAAATTAGGCTTTTATGTTCAATTATTAAAAAAGACTTTACATAAAATATATAATACTCCACAGATTTCATGAAAATAAAAGATCTTATAACAGAAATTTAAAAATATAAAATAGATAATTTAATGAAAATTTAAAGAGTTCTTCCTTTGCTAATTGTATATTAAAAATTATTTATATACAAACGTTTTTGAATTGTAAAGTTTTTGTTTGTTTTAAAGCCTTTTAAAGTAAAAATGATTTAAAATTCATAAGCATAAACTTCTTTAGTAATTGTGTGAAATACATCTTAACATTATAAGCTGAAGTACTGATTCAGAAATTTACAATTATATTTTGGGAAATTAATAATATTTCTACCATGAAATTCATTATCATATTATTTATACAACCAGTTCGAAAAGTACATAAATTATTATTGAACAAACCCTACACTATTAACCACGCAAAACAATTATGGTTTTTTCCCATTAGTTTTCACATTTTGAAACATTTAAGTTTGCAATTTTTGGCAAGCAGTAACTACAAGAGCAAGAACTTCGGAGGTTAATTTGAAATCGCTGTCCATTAAATCTTTCCAACTTTGTTTATTAGATACCACCGGAAAATGATTCACGATAAAACTAACAGTCAAATCTTTCAATTTCATGTCATTATGCAATTCAGCTAATTGCAAAACATCACAAACAATATTAGAAACTTCATCACCTGATTCAGATAGTTTGTTTTGCAGTATATCAGAACAAGCATTCCGTAACGCTGGTACATCATACTTGTCACCTAACGAATACAGTGGCACAACAGTTTCCATTGATCGATCTTCAATCTCACCAGTATAGAGGTACATTAGAAATTTTTTAAACGGAATCTCAGAACAATCAGTAATGGTAATAGAATTGGATGAGGTTTCTAAGCAATCGTGCTCCATCATTTTCTTGAAAACTGGTGAGCGGGAACATAACATGAACTTGTGAGCACGAAGTATGTTTTCACCAATGCGAATTTCTAAATCACACATTTCGCCAGAAGTATAAATAGATCTTAAATCTTGAATTAACTCTTTCGGATTATCAACATAAGGTTCGTTTCTTGACTCTTGGTTAACTGGGGCAGAAGAGGATTTTTTATGACTTTTGTTTTCTTGAAGCGGCAAAGAAAGATCAGTCCCGGAAGAAAGAGCTTTGGATAGTTTTAACTGGAGTGTAAAAATATATTTTTCAGAATCATTAAACATTTTATTTGTTAAATGAAATTGACATAACATCGGATTTGATTTTAAATCACGCTCCTTCACAACCCTAAGTAATGTCAATGGATAAGATTGTCCATTTGAAGTGAAGCTCGTAAGACTTGCACTGGAAACTTTACTTGAAGCATAACAGCCACGCAAGTTGAAATTAAATATATAATGTTTTGAAAATTTACTAAGAACTAATTTCAAATGACAGCCAGAAAGCGAACTGCATAAAGTACCAAAAGTAGGACTCTCATATACAGTGAAATATTTTATATTACAGAAGTGCCAATTATATGAAAATTCATTTTCAGAAATTTTTCGACTCTCAATTTTGCCACCTGCTTCCATCTTAATTTTATTTTCGTATTCACTAAATTTGCATCATAACGAAAAGAAAATCATTCATGAAGCATATCAAAACAAATGGGAAATATAACCGCTATTCAATCTATGTACTGAAAAAAGAAAGATAATCTCAATTGAAACAATGCCACATCACGAGTATGTTTGCGATAAAGTTACTGATAATAAAGCATTGTCAAGGCAATAAGGGTATTTACTTAAAAAGCTTTCGAATTTTTTGAAATTTATTTCAGTTTAAAATAAAGAATGTCAAAAAACTAGATGACTGAAACTGATGGCATGTCTGAAAACTGGCAAATATTTTCTACAAAGTCTAAACTTTCAAGCTAACAGGAAGGTAATAAATAAAATAATTACAAGTATAAGAAAATGGCTATAACACTGGAATAATGTTTTACGGGAAAATAGTGGAGATAAATTAAAAAATATTTGAAATTTTATTAAAGAATTCTTTTGTGGGATTCAGTAAAAAAACACTAAAATACTCGAGCATACTGTGCAGAGTTGTTTTGGAGAGAAGGTGTTATCCTATTAACACAACTATACTTTAACCTCTCCAAAAACAATTATACGTTAACGAAACCTTTACTAAAGCCATGATATTTAGTCTTTCTATTCTTTTCAATTTTTATGCAATTAAAGTTAGAAATAGGATTTTTTTTTATAATCTTATATTTAAAAAAATTGGATTAAAATTTTCTTTCTAAAATGCTTTTTTTTTCTAAAATCATAATTTTTAAGAACACTACTGATTTCAGTCCTTGATTAATTTTATTTTTTAGCAACTGAACTAATATAACGAGCAGATAGTCAATAATAATACAAAAATGATCTAATGTCCAAAAATAACCTAACAAGGTAAAAAAAATGGGAGCAAAGAACAAAACCAAAATTTTCGTAGTTATGGTGCATAACAATTCAACAAGTCATTTACAGCAATTTCACACTTATTTTAATTTTTCTGGCGTCGACTGTTCAGTAATATTAATTTCGATTCCTTTCTTCAATTTTGTAGAGTATCAAAAGAATTTTAAACACCAAGGCCCTTTGCGATTGTAATTTTCCAGTTTCTGCTGTAGGTGGTAATGAAAAACACCTGTGATATAGTCTGAAATCGATATCACGAAACAAATAAAACGATATTACAGGTGATCCAGTGATGATTGAAAGTTTCAGCATTATTATACTAAGATGAATTTTTTTCTATAATGATTGATCTCATCTCATTTAGCTTTTGGGTGTTAAAAAGCATCAATAACTCAATGACTTCCATCCATACTTCTTTTGAACTGTTTCATAAGGAACTAGAATTGGTAAATTATTTTAAATTCGTCTGGATTACGAGCAGCCCTTTTGACTAGGTTAGTTAAAATAAATATCAAACGTTGCATTCACAAGGGAAACTAGGGAAGTGTGACTCGTCAATTTTGAAATAAACTAGTAGGATGTATGCCTTATGAAGAATAATTTTAGGGGGCAACATTCGTTTCGGCCCATAGAGGGTCCTATGAGAGATAAAAAATAATTAAGTATGTAGAAAAATCGGTATTTCATTACTTCAATGCAGACTATTAGTTATTGTAATTATATCATACTCCAATTAATTTTGTGCTACTTTCACGTACTATATAATGCATATTTATTGTCAAAATTGATTTCGAAAATTTTATATATCTGTAGTTTTTCAGAAAAAAAAATTTAAAAAA